GTGGAGTTCGACTTTCAAATGACAAATGCGTTTTAGATTCACAATTGAATTGAGGACAGTCGTTTTCCTCTTTAACGATTTAGTTATTTTATTTACGTAATAAATTAAGTTTTACAAAGCGTTTGCATGTGTAGACAAAGTGTAAATTAGTAGGAAATTATACGTGTAAAGACTTAAGACTATTTTCCGCTAATCAGAGAGCTGGAGGCTCGACATTAACTTGAATACGAGAAAAGCTACTGAACCCAATACTCGTATTTGCCACGGTGAAAGAGATTGTCTTAAACCTGGAGCGGCGCGGTCGCAAGAGCTACGTACCAGCCTAAGAAGCTCTCCTGGGAGCACAAGAAACTTCCCCTAACTCCGTTATCATTTCCCCTCCAAGTCCAGAAAGAAAAGTACTCGCAAAAGCTGAAGTAGCGCGAGGCGTGGAATAGTGACTCTATTCAAATATGTTTACCAAATGTATCCTGTCCACTACATACTTCAAGCATTACTTTCTTAATAATTACGAACTTTTAACTCTTACCGCAACTAATAAATTCCGACCTCGCGAGATCGATGAATGAAAACGAAGACAGGTGTGAGGAGACACTGTTCCAAAAATCAAAAATGTGTTGGCAAACTCGAGAAAATTGGGTCGGAAAAGTCGGTCGGTCAGTCGGTCAGTCGGTCAGTCTGTCTCAGTCAGTCAGTCAGTCAGTCTGTCTCAGTCAGTCAGTCTGTCTCAGTCAGTCAGTCTGTCTCAGTCAGTCAGTCAGTCTGTCTCAGTCAGTCAGTCAGTCTGTCTCAGTCAGTCAGTCAGTCAGCCTGTCTCAGTCAGTCAGTCAGTCTCAGTCTGTCTTAGCCAGTCTGTCTGTCTCAGTCTGTCTCAGTCAGTCAGTCAGTCTCAGTCTGTCTTAGCCAGTCTGTCTGTCTCAGTCTGTCTCAGCCAGTCTGTCTGTCTCAGTCTGTCTCAGCCAGTCTATCTGTCTCAGTCTGTCTCAGCCAGTCTGTCTGTCTCAGTCTGTCTCAGCCAGTCTGTCTGTCTCAGTCTGTCTCAGCCAGTCAGTCTGTCTCAGCCAGTCAGTCTGTCTCAGCCAGTCAGTCTGTCTCAGCCAGTCTGTCTCAGCCAGTCAGTCAGTCAGTCAGTCAGTCAGTCAGTCTGTCAGTCTGTCAGTCTGTCTCCAAATTGTGGTGAAATATTTTCTTCATCCCTTTTACTTCTGGAATGTCCTTTCACGCGTGATATCAGGAAAAACTTTAAATTTGATACAGATATCCATTCTATATTAAATTCTACTTCGAAGTATTACAAAATTATAGAATTTATGTGTTTCAATAAATATATATATATATATATAATTATAAATATATATATTTATATTTATTATATATATTAGTATTCATTATATTGTTAAAAATATCTATGTTTGTAATGTTAACTGTATTGAACACTGAATGTTTTAAATTGTTAATAAACAATATGAAAGGTAATCAAAAGTGTACGTTTTCTTATAATGTAAAATTGTAAATTAGATTGTGATTGCTTGTGACCACGAAGTTGCACAGCGATGTAAAATAAAATAAATGTCCGAAGTCGGATTTTCACTGAATACTCTAAATTATCAAAAAATTACAAATGTTTAAATTTTGTCGGTGTCCACAAAATTAAAGACACAGAAAATTCTTGTCAATGAAATCTACTCATCCAAATTTAATCTTTAAATGATGTAATCTACTACTATATGACAAACGAGTAGTTTGCACGTAATTTTGCGAGAAATGAAGGCAATTAATATGTATTTAAAAAGAGCTCCAATTTTTTCTTTAAACTTCTTTAATGGATATGGTTAAATGCACTGAATAATACATTACCGTTATTTTTACGTAATATTTTAATATGTAAAAATTACTCAAATGTATGTTCAAGAAGTATTATTCCATGTACTGTAATTAAAAACACTGCGATATCTACAATTACTTTAATTTGTAGAATTAGAGTTTGGCAGAAACTCAATAATAATTTATGTGTGTCCTCCTCAAAAAGGGGAATTGATATTCCTATTATCACTCTATCGCAATAATGACGAACTATGACCATCAAATCTGACCATCCAAAATATTGATCTCAGATCATATATACATGACGTTAATAACGAAACTGGTATATATATCAAGATGGAAAGGTAAATTTTCATGCCACTCACATAACTATAGAAGCATCGGAAAGTTTCTATATCAATCTAATGAGTAATAAGAAAACGAATTCTGAACATACATAATACGCATCAATGCAGCACAATAATTCGTAACAAGAAGATAAAAGTATAAAGCTGCATCAAATGAACTAATCTTGACAAGTAATAGATATTTTAGTGTTGAATCAAGGGACAGATAAACGAAAACAATAATTTATAAAGTTACAATGAAGTTTTCTTTCAATTTTTGGGCAATTGATTCAATATTTCTATTAGTCAGCAATTAACATTAGAATTAACGCAGAAAAAATCGTTTTTATAACTTTATAAATAAAAGTAATTCCAAATCAAAGCATACTGTTCACATGTATTAATTGAAATACATTTTATATTATTCTCTCTTCACGTCATTTTACTTAATGTTATACTAGATATTACATCTATAATATTTATCACAGATTATTTGTATGAAAATATACAAATCTTTGAATTGAATTTATTTCCAGAGAGCTGTAATGCTTAATAAAGAACAATTAAAATAGGGAAGAAAATGGTGATTGAAAACATCAGAAAGTATTCTGCATGTCCTTTTGTTTTGAGTCAGAGTCGTCACTATTCATGAAAGCGTAGAACGATAACCATAAAACAATTTCATATAGTTCTAAATTACTCTGAAGTTTTAGGAAAATTCGATTGATTACGATTGATTACGACGAGGCGTTGTAAACCACTGTATCCCAACATTTTAATATCTAAAATGCAATTATATAGACGCATTAAGTGCGTAAGTTAAAATGTACACAAGTATGCAGATCATTATAATTTTTTAACTGCGGCTTTTTGTCAACAGATACATTTAATTACAATGAACAATTTTCAGGTTTTCGCCAGTTTCTTCATTCTGCTATTCTTGACCTTTTTGTAAGGCAAACAAACGCAAAAACCGAACTCTGTAATCCGGTGGAAACACTGAATGCCGGGTTTTCATTTATTACACTAATAGTCGTCGATAAAGGCACGAATCCAAATGATTGTTTGCAAACAAAAGGAACGAAATACTAAATTATGACTATGTTTTTGCTCGAGTTTCAATTTACAAACTACCTTTTCTTTTTTGGTCACACCGATAAACTTCCGAAGAAACTTAATGAAGCTTGAATAAATGCAATGAATGGCAATTGTTTGATCGAAGTATTCAAAAAGAAACCGAACTCTTGCTGGAAAACTAATATGAACATTAGTGGAAGTAATAACGGTAGCCTCGAATCTATTAAAAAAGTTCATATAAAAAAATCTGTTTGTTTGTTTAGCCTTAGAGTACTAAACGTCATGATCTTGTCAGGTATCGAATCTGCGGTCATATTTACGAGAACATTGAAGTAATTCCCTTGAGATTCGATTTGTTGGTAATAAAAAAAAAAATTGCGGCGTCTTCCTTCACAAAGGGACGTTGCAAAGCATCCCAGGCGAGCTGAGCCTTACCTCCGAACGGGTCTTGGAGAGAGCGTGCACCGTCC